CAAACACCCAAGACATACCATATTAACTAAATAATGACTCCTAATGACGTCTAGGACTCCTAGGAAGCCCAGCGTTATAGTCCTACTATGAGTCAACTACTTGCCTGTATAAATACATCGCCATCATTCATTGTTAAGGTATGTTCTACATACAATTTGAGCATCTAATATCTTCCATATTCTCTTTCTGACTTAAGTATCGGAGGGGCGACGAGAACACACATCGATGCCTTTGTTTCAGGTACCGGAAGATCACGTTCGTGCTCATTCTCAGTCGTCAAATTCGGAAGTCGACATGTACGATTTTTGGTAGCATCATTGGCCCCGTCTATTCTAGAACTAGAACATAACCATGATTAAATTATTCCCGATTTGAAGAATCAAAACCATTGATTTTTTCTGTAGAACTCAAATCGAATTGCTCGATTTGGTTTGATCTGGACATTTTGTCCACTTTTAGGTCATCTCCAACCCTACACCAAAATTTGAGGTTAGTTNATCTCCAACCCTACACCAAAATTTGAGGTTAGTTTTGCACCATTTTGCACAAATTTTGAAAATCATCTCTAACCTATTACACCAAAACTTACATCAAATGAACAATGTTTAATTATTTTTTTCATTTTTATAATTCTTAACAATTTATTCATTTGTTTATTTTGCAACAACAAAAATTACTAAAAAAATATTACGTTAAACTAACGAAAATATTAAATTTATTAATAAATCTAAAAAAATATAGTACAATTAATAGAAACACCACAAATACGAAAATAATAATCACGTCATCAAAAAAATAACGCAGTGCGTTATTCCGATATCATAATATTATGAAGTCGAAATAGTGTTGCAAAAATGATCAATTAATGCATTTTGAAGTGCAATGTGAACCTTTTTAATTTTTTGAGTGTTATTATTTTAATTAATTCATTAACTATTATTGATTACATTATTAAAATTTATTACAAAAGCACATAATAATAATGATGATGATGAGCCCCCCCAAGGACATGACTCAGTGGTACAAATGACAGGAGTGAGGTAGTCTCAACTGAGTTGGCTGTCGGAGTGTGAGAGTTCGATTACTGCCACTTACAAGATATAGAATTGGACTATTTGTGGGCATCAATATGACAGCTCTTATACCCTGTCTTGTTGAGACACATCCTGCGATTTACCTTCTCCACAATGCTCTAAGAACGGGACAGTTGAGGCCCTTAAGGTCGGGTTCAACCTTTTTTTAATAATGATGATGATGATTTATTGTACTAAAAAACGTATAATAAAAATGGACACAAATATCCTTAACCAATTTTTTGGCAAAGTGAAAGAGTAAGACATGTCACTATTTTGGTGCAAAATGGTGCAAAGTGAATAGTATTGCACCATTGCAGGCAAAGTATGGTGTTAGGTTGAAGAAACTTTGCACCATTCTTGGTGCAAAATGGTGTTTTGGTGCGTGCTTTGGAATTGATCTTAGATAATGGGCTAGGTCCAACTAAGAGTATATAAATACAAGTTTTAGGGTTGGAGATCACAAGGTTTTTGGTTATCTCCAAACCCTAATACAACTATAAAATAGCCTATCCTTCTCTCTCCAACTTTTCTAAGAATTTTTATATTTAAATCTTGCTGAATAGACTTTTGTTAAAGACTGAACGATTGAAAATTTTTAGATCGAGATTTGAAAGATAGTTGATTTGCAATTATGCAAGTTAAGTTTTCAAGAGGTATCAAATAACATTAATATTATTGTAGATCGACTATAGGCGAATTACAATTTTAAATGATCTTCTACTCGTTGATTTAATTCCTCAATTGATATCATATTGAGTGTGAGAGTTCCATTTTAAAAAAATCAATCTTGTTAATATAAGAATTGGTCCAAACCTTTATACGTTAGTTAATATTTTATATTTAGAGTCTGTTTGGGCCGGATTAAAATCTGATTTTAATCAAAGTCAAAGTCAAACAATCAATATTAACCACATCTTTTATGAGTCCCACATCTTTTCAACCACACATTTCAAAAACTTTTATCACAATCCATTAAAAATCTAATTTTAATCCCCACCAAACACTTTCTTAGATAGTGTAAGATTTGGTCGAGACGCAGGTTCTCTTTCTTTCTAATTCGGGCGCTTAAATTAGGGGTTAGGTTCATTTCTATGAGATTACTCTTGCACCTAGGTATTATCACTAACATTTGCAAATGTTCATACTAATTTCTTTGTATTGTCCAAAAAGGAGCAGAAGAGACCTATTTTTTTTTTTAAATTTTTCAGACTTTGCCCTTTCCTTTCCATCCTCTAATTTCATTTCCTTTCCTCAATCTGTACAAACATAACAAACTTTCAGGGTTTCAAGACATCTGTCAAAAGGCCATCTTAGTATAAAACCTGAAAATTCCAAACCCCTTAAATCTAGCTGTAAATCTTCTGTATTGTAAAACATACGACACACTCGAAATACCTGTATTCATTGCTGTCGGAGGAAAAAAATTAAATCGAAGGGCTGGTGATAAACGCATCCAAGGTAAATTATTATTTGTTACATACAAAACGGAGCTTTGTTTTTTTGAATGTATAGATTGAATGAATCGACGCCCTTTGTTTACCAGCATTGTTACTTTTGATTTAATAGTTACGCTCGTTGTTTTTTGTTGATTGGTGTTCATTTCTATTGTGCAATATTAATCATTCACCAGGAAAAAAAGTTAAGAAGTTTTTGTTGAGAAGGTGAGAAAAAAATGAATTTAATGGAAGGATGGTCGAATTTAAGAGACGATTCAAGTTCACATGAAGTCCAAAGCGTTGAAGAGGATATTGGGACTTCATGTGATCTTGATTTTCCGATAGAGGAATGCAGTTTTCATACTAGTAAGGAGAGGCTAAGGGTCTTGTTTGATGAAGTACTTGTAGTTTTTATAAGAGAAAAGTCTGCGAGCAAATGCATTAGGCCTATTCCGGCATTGTGTGGTGATGGGCGAGTGGTGGACTTGTTTAAACTTTTCTGGGCAGTGAGGAAAATAGGCGGATATGATGCCGTCTCGAGGAAAAATGTATGGGGTTTTGTCGCGGAGGAATGTGGGTTGGGTTTTGGGGCCATTCCATCCGTTAAGTTGATTTACTTCAAGTATTTGACTGGGTTGGATCAGTGGTTATGGCAAATCTCTAAGGATAGGACTGTGGAGGGTGGGGAGAGTGGAGTTTTCCAGAAATTGGATTTATTGTCTAGGGAGTTGGAGACAAGGTTTAGAGGTTCGTTGTCGGATGGGAGAGAGAAGCCAGAGAAAGACACCAATATTTCTCGATTGGAGCATATTAAAAGTGTGAAACAATATCCAGCGGTGATTGGAAGATTTAGTGAAAATGTGGATAATCCAGAATTCTTGGAAGATAGTGACGAAAGTTTCTGCTGTTACAATGACTTTCCTCAAGCCCAACGGGTCACCGGAAAGTTTACTTGTAAAATACATGATGGCCCAGATAGAAGTACTGATGATGATGATGATGGGAGATTTTGGGTTGACAATGATTTTGGGAAATCAGCCAAGAGAATAACCGAGAATGCAGTTGATGAAGCACATGGTTTTTCTAACAGACAAATTGATGACAAGGGAAAATCTTGTGTCGTGGTCAATGATAATGTAGTGGTATTAGGGAAGAAAATCATTAACAAAGTACATCATCCTGCAGACAAAATTGCAGATAATGAATATGAAAGATTTCCTGCTAAAGAGAACGATGATGGGATATTGGCTGAGGAACTAAGTAGTAAAGCGCAAAATCTTCTGGAGAACTTTATTGACGAGGAAAGAAAATTCATCGCCCAAATTGGCAATGATGTTGTGATGTCAGCCAGGAGTGTTGTTGGAACTGAGCCTGATTCTTGGAAGAAGAAACATGAATCTCAATATTTGACAAGAATGTTGAATTGGATGACTTATGTTGCCAAGCATTCTGATGATCCTGCAATTGGGAAAATACCTGAGTGTTCCAAGTGGAAGGACCATGGCCATGAGGAGTTCTGGATCCAAGCTTTATTTGTTCGGGAGACTCTGTTGATACGAAGGCATTCTAAAAGAAATGCAGATGAATCTTTCCAGCAGGTAAATACATTTGTTGTTTTTACCAATTAGATTTGGCAATTTATATTTATGGAAGTTCTCACTCCACTAGCTAATTTGCAGCATGTTTTAGTTTTCTAGCTCAACTTTTGAAATTAAAAACCCTTAAAGAAACTTAACAAAAAGTCAAAGAGAAAATTTAAAAATTTGTATTTATAATTTTAAGCAAATTAATTTGAGAACTTAAATAAACCTTTTTTTATGTAGTGGATTATTTGCTATGAATAACTTTTTAAAGATTGCATAATGCGTTGAACAAAAAATTGAATTTGATTAATTCCTATTTAATAATCAATTAATGTTAAGTAACTCAGATTTAAACTGAATAACTATATTATTATGAACATGAATTTTTTTGGGTTAATAAATCTTTCTCCAGTGTTTCATGTCATTTTTTCAGAAATAGCGTCTCCATGTGTCATGTTGTGTTGCATTTCTCGTTTAAGTTTCTGTGCCTCCCTACTATTTCCATATAAAGGTCTTCTAAGTTTTCAATTTTTTTGGCTTTCCAACATCAGTTGTCTTATTGGAACTTTATGACCATTCTCATATGTTCATGGCACGACTACGATGAAAGGATAATTGTAATGAGACTTATTGGTACAATTAGGACAATCATGTTTATTTTTATTTATTGCTACTTTATCAATTTTATCAAAATTGGATTCTTTTATTATTTTATGATATGATAGTTTATAGATTTACTTGCAATTTCTAAGAAATTCTCTTTAGAGTATTAGGGTTTTCTTTAAAAGCAAGACATTGTTTTTAGGAGAGATTTAATCAGATAAAATTGAGATTTTCTCTATTCTTTCATATATTTGGTATTCTTCGTGAATAAATTTACATTGATATCCAAATTCTCAGTATTCAATCGAATCAATGAGTTTTTAGAGTATTAATCATCTTTCCCATTTTTCTGGTCCATTAGTTTGGTATTACAGTATGAACTACGTTCCTAATAATGTCATCAAGGAAATGGGTTTGTAAAATTCAAGATGGAGGAAATCAGTTGACATAATTAGATAGCACAATTGCATTTGACAGGTAGTGTTAGCACTTAGATGGAACTATTGCATCATTAGCGGAGGCATTGTATAGCGGACGGACGATGTTCCACTATAGTGGCCCGACAATCATAGAGGTGTAGCATAGATGACGCAGAATGCTTATAACTCGTTAAAGAACAACCGAGAACCAAAAGCGAAAGGAGGTCCAAGAAGAGAGGAATCAAGGGCAAGAGGAAAATCACTTTAATTCATATAATCAGGGTTTAAGTAGTAGATTTGCTTTGGGTTGATAGGTTAATGGACTCTTGGGTTTTATGGTTGGCTTTTAGGTTAGATATAAGAGAAGCGTAGAGGGCTGAATGTATTAAGAGTTTGGGTTTAATGCTGTATGGTTGTTTGGCTTTTGAGTGTATGTATGGGCTGGTTTGGGATAAAATATATGGTTTTGGATATTGGGGTGTATATGTGGAGCTGTGTTATGTGATGGGCTAATGAGTTGTTTGGACAGTGGGCAATGTTAAGGTTGTAAAATTTGGCCAGAGAACAGCAGCAAAGAACTTAATGAACAGCAATGGAGCAGCAACAGCAACGAAATGATGAAGTGAACCTCTTTTTTTTTTTCCCCTCTGAAACTGAAAACAACAATAACGGTGCAGCTATATTCTTTTTTTTTTTTTTTTTTTTGGGATTTAAAAAAAAAAAAAATTTCAGACCTTTTTTTTTAACAACTAATAGAAACTACTAAACCAAAGAAAAGGAACTGCTGCAGCTGCTGTGATGAATTTTTCTTTTTGCATTTGTGCTGTTCTAAGGTTTTTTGTGTATAAAAGTGGTTTAGGTTTGGATGGATGGGTTGTGGAAGGTGTTGGCGTAGGGATTAGATGGAAACGATTGATTGGGGGGTGTCGTGGATTTGGGTTTGACTATGAAGGGTGTTAGGCCAAAGGTAAATGAATTGCTCTGATACCAAATTGACGTAGAATGCGTATAACTTATTCAAGAACAACCGAGAACCGGAAGAGAAAGGGGGTCAAGAAGAGAAGAATCGAGGGCAAGAGGAAAATCACTTTAATCCATATAATCAAGTTGTGAATTACAATGGACAGGCCCCTCTATTTACAGCTAAAAAGAATTTAAAAAAGAAACAAACTTCTAATAAACTATTTATCTCAAAATATCAAAGGTAAATCTATTCTAATTTGACTAAATACATTTGGAATCAAACTCTTATTATAAATTCTAATTAAAATAAATCTCTATCTTTATTCTTGTCATGATCTCCATCGGTAAACCAATCGAAGGTGGTGGAGGACTCTGACGACAACAATAGGCCTTTTGCTCGGTATATGTTATTTTGGGTATCGATTTAGAATCAGCTGAAGTATTTGATGCGATGGCTGATTCGGTTGAGGAGTGTGATAGCGCACCAATTTTCAGTGATGAGTTAGAAGATTTTCTGGAGATGGATAATGGCAGTTATGACACTGCTTTAATTTTTTATAAAGAGCTTGAAACTATGAAGTGAAGTCAGTTATGACAACACCCCATCCTTGAGTCGTGGTCCAAGGAATTCACAGTAAATTTAAGTTTTAGTGATAATGGCGACAAAAATATATGAGTGAATAATTATTATATTAATGACAATGAGAGCACTAGTTGGCGAACTATGCTAACAAATCGAAAATTGGAGCTAATTCAGTGGGTATTCTGAAAGGAAAAGAAATATCGACTTTGGGTATTTATTTGAATTGGAGATGTGAGACGTTGGCACAGGGACTTAAGAGCTGCTTGATTCAGTTAATGGAAACTATAATGTTGTGCATAAAACATTTAATCCAAGGTATTTAACTTTTTCCACGGCAATGGTTTTGTGGACAAGATAGAATATACACTAATGCATTTTCCTTTTGAACTTAAGAAACAATTTTCAAGATCTGGTTACGAATGCACGATAATCAACCCTTTTGAGATCAATAATGTTTAAGTGTATCTGCATCTTCAAATTCTGCCAGATGTCTTGGTGACACAAATGCTACAGATATAATCTGATGTTGACTGAAATAGAGGAATAGTTATTGCTAGAAATGAGAGAAGACTGTTACTGTACATTGTTGAGTCAAATGGCAGGTCCGAAGCATTAGGTTAGAGCAATTTGCTTGTTTTCTTTGTACAATACAGTTTATAAACTATTCTGCGTGATCAACATATAGTTACAATTAGAAAGTTGAGTGAAGTACCACCATTACGAGGTGCAATGATATGAGTAAATGAAATTGGATGTTAAAATCTTTGGATGAGCACTTCAAAATCTAAATGGTTTAAAAATGATTTGAGATAAAATGTATGGAATGTCCATGTAGTCATAGTAGGAAGTAAAGATGATTGTGGAGTGACGAGAGATTCATGTTGGTTCCAAGAAAGATTGTTTAAGGTACTCTATTATAGATAAGAAAGAATGATGTAAAAATGATGTAATGCATAGGGTTTGGGTAGTTTGAATGAAGTAGTTAATTGCTATATGGATTCTGTGACCGTACAATACTTGCGAAGTAAAGAAAGCTATGGTTACATAATATGATCATTAGACTAGCTATACTTTATGCTTGAATGGCAAAATATACATAAATTAGTGTAGTACAAGAAATGAAATGAGAATGTTATGAGTGGGTAAGTTGTTCATACTTTTGTGAAAGTGCAAACAAAGTCTCACATTTTGTTTGGAGGTGGAAATTCAACTCTCTACGAGTGGTATCAAAGATAGGATTCAAATTAAGCTGTATGGACACACAAGATAAATCTCTGATAGCAATAGAACGAAGTTGTTGGCCCCTCTAGCTGGATGGCTAATGTCAAAATAATCTATGAGTAGCTCTCAAGACAGTAAATGGAGGGTGCGAGGTGATATGGTACATCTTTTGAATAAAGATTATTGGTAAAGTTTAAGCCCATGTTTGGTGAAAATTAAAATTTAGATTTAATCTAAGTCAAAGTCAATTGTTAATTTTAACCACACATTTCACGGGAGTCACAACTTTTCAATCGCACAATTCATCAACTTTGATCAAAATTTACTAAAAATCTGATTTTAATCCCAACCAAACGAGAACTAAACAAAGTCCTACTTCTGTTAAAAGTCAGGTGTATAATGAGTTTATAAGAGATTGAGCTACTTCATCTATTGGGTTAACCTTTTGGGTTTGAACCTCAATTCCCTACACTTGCTAAATAGATAATATAAGAAACAGGAATTGACAACTTATGTGATTTGGATATATATGGCGTAGACCTAAAAAAAACTCTTGTACAAGACTTGTATATTTCCGTCAGAACATGTTAGAAGATGAAGAAGTAAACCAAAATCTAATAGGGTATGATGTGGTGTGAATGATCTTTTGGTAGATAGTATCAATGAATAAGTCAGAATGGCAAAAAAGGAAACACGTAAATAATGCCAAACTTGATCTTTTGGTAGATAGTATCGATGAATAAGTCAGAATGGTAAAAAAGGAAGCACGTAGATAATGCCAAACTTATAGGGAATAAGGCTTAGTTTTTTTATCGTTGTTGCTTATATTCATGAAGACGTTTGTGATTGTTGTTGTTTTGATTCATGAAGACTACTGCTTGTTCATTTTTTTTGAGAGAGAAGGATGTGAGATTTTTCTAGTGGAGAGACCAATGTTTATGGCTTAATGTGTTTTTTGTGTCTGTTTGTGTACTTGTCTTTGCACTCATGTTCTTTGATCAACCCTTGATTATGTGAAGACATGATGAAAGTAGTGAAATTCTTACTTTGAATCATTCCAATTAATTGACAATTGTACTTAAGGTGCAGTGGTAAGAATTTGGAAGGACAAAATTGCCTCAAGAAGAGGGTATACAATCTCACTTAATAAGCACCTTGGCCTTAAATACTTAAGCAAACTATTTATTTTTGTGGTTTGATTTAGGGATGCTGACAAACACGATACTCACGGGGCCCCGCCTCGATGGGTAACTTTGCTCCGGGGCGGGGACGGGTAATGGATGCCCCACGCGGCCTCGCCTCATTAATTTTTTTTTTTTTAGAATTCAATACTTTAAATGAAAAATTTCACGAAATTTCATCAGTTCTAATAGAAAATGACAACTAAAATTATCTAAAAAAATATGACAAACAATAAAAGCTTTAGTTTAGCAAATATATTTGAATAATTTAACTTCTAAAAATAAGTAAAGATTAAAAAATGTATTATTGTCTCAGTCTAATGAATGTGGATAATAAAATAAATTATCAAAAACTTAAAAAATAAAAATAAAAAAATAATCGGGGTAGTAAGCGGGGCAAGGGTCTCGCCCCGCCTTGCCTTAAACAGGTAACGGGAGATTGCCCCGACCTCACCCCCTGCCATCCCTAGTTTGATTGATGTGTGATGAGCCATTACACCAATGGTTCTATTTGTTTCTCTGATAATCTAGAGAATTGATTACAATATGACAACCTTACTAAATGTTTCGACAAGATAGTTCTCCTTAACTCTCCAAAAATGAAGGTGAATTTTGCAATGACAAAGTAAATGCACTTGAGACTGAATAGGTCGCATGTGATTCATTACTATACAATTCATTGATGTCATACTGCTGATAGGAATGGGAAAAAAAAAAAAAGGGAGCTGAAAATTTATATTAATTTTTTCCTGATGTGAATACGCTTTGACATCTGTTATTGGACTCTTTGATCGTTTGTGTGTTTTATTCGTCATTTTTATATTCCTCGAATTTTTTATTGAGCGCATCATAAAATCAACCAGGACCAGCAGAAGAAGATCAGGGTGCATCCTGCGGTTTACGAGGATAATGTTCCCAATCACCAATTGGCAGAAAAATTAATACACAGCACACGGCTTCCTTCTTTGACAGTATCTCACCCATGTTCACGTTGCAACTCGTCTGAAGCTGGTACAAGTAATATTAATATTCATCAGAAGGCAAATGTGGAGAGTAGCCTAAAAGAGCCAGTTGCTGCGACTACAAATTCACAGGATCAGTCCGAGAAACATGTTTTTGTGGGTCCTCTCTTCCAAGCAAAGATCCCTGAATGGACTGGTGCGCTTACTGAGAGTGATTCCAAATGGCTGGGCACACACATTTGGCCACCAGAAGATGGCAAAGGAAAGTCCATAGTTGAGTTGGATCCCATTGGGAAGGGAAGACAGCGTTTGTGTAATTGTCAATTCCCAAATTCTGTTGAATGTATGAGGTTTCACATTGCCGAGAAGAGATTGAAACTCAAGTGTGAACTTGGTTTGCCATTCTACCATTGGCAATTTAATCGCATGGGAGAAGAGGTTTCACTGTCATGGACAAAAGAAGAGGAACAGAGATTTAAGGATACAATGAGATTACACGCTGCATTCCCCAAAAAGTTTTGGAACAATGCCCGTCGGTTTTTACCTTCCAAGACAAGGGAACAATTGGTTAGCTACTATTTCAATGTTTTCCTTGTCCAACGCAGAAGTTATCAAAACCGGGTTTGTCCAAATGATATTGATAGTGATGATGACGAAAAGGAGTGTGGATCGATAGGTGATAGTTTTGGGTATAAAGCAATCAATATTACTAGCGCGAGGTCGATCACGTGCACCCAGAATAAGGAGTGTACAGATTTGGCGTAGCATATTAGATACGTGCTTCTTTGCAGCTTGTACAACTACTTTTTCTTTGTGTGTTTACAGGTGAAGCATTCATTTCTTGTGAAAATCTTGATCAGATAACAATAGACATTTGGAAGTTGCAATTTGGTGGTGGAAGAGGCTGTCTTGCAGCATGGGCTAAAATTTTACCGTCGATATTGAAGTAGCTTTTTGGTATAGGACAATAAGGACATCATACTTATAATTTGTTGCCCTGTAAATATCTTTTAATGCTGCCAAACTAAGATGGCCAAGTTTTGCTGAATTACAGAAGTAAACATAAAAAAAACATGTTCATCTCTGTTTTTTGGATGGATTCATGGATTTTATAAATGAATAATGTTATTTGCAGTTGTTCAATACTGTAGTTGCCCTACGTGGCATACATGTAACGGTTAGTGATTTGATATATTAATGTAGTAGTTTTTTTATCGTTTAATATATCAAATCACTAATTATCACATGTATGCCATGTTTGTCGACTACAATAGTCAGCTATTGCAAATGGACTTTGCTATAGGTACATGAATTTAAATTCCTATACCTACAGACTACACACAACGTTTGGGGGGGAATTTTTTTTTTTTTTTTTTTTTTTCAATATTTTATACATGGGGTCCACTACATGTGAGTTGGAATTCAAAAATATGGTCCAATTCTTGTAAAAATTTCCTGTACTTGAATCATTTTTCATTGCAAATAGCATTACTCTTTATAAATTGCGTTGAACAGTTTAGCTTTCGCCTTTCAGCCAGCTATGGCCCTATTCTTGGTCGAGATAGATGGGAAGGAGCTCTATCTGGTAGAGGCCACAACGATTATCTTTGTTTATGTACATAAGCTCTTGTTTTAGGGTGGTGCTGCCCAATTTTTATTCCTCTTCTATGATCTAAGTAAAAATTGAATCGAAAGACTTTATCTCATAGTTCACTTCTTTCCTCAAGCTCAATAAAGGATATTGATTTTCGATAACCACTTTACCCCTATCCAATTAATCATGCCTTGCACATAAATGGATTCACCTAGTGTGAGGTCTCTGTAGTTGCTACTGCTCAATTTCTTTGATGAGAGAATTCCATCATTGCAACTTCTTGCCTTTGGTGATCTTGAATTCTTGATAGCATTTGCTTAGAAAGTATAGGTTTGCTCAATGAACTTCTCTAAAGAGTGAGGATATTTTACACCATAATCAATTTGAAAAAGGCGATGGAGAGAAAGAAGTCCATTCGGTTAGAAAAACTCAAAAAGGGGCAACTTTCGTGTAGTTCATGATTACGTTGCCACTATTTAATCAATTTTGGTCAATAACTGATGCTAAATAAAGTGAGAATCATTACAAGCATAATACAAGGAAAAAAAAAAGAGGCTAAAAGGGTGGTCTATGATTAGATTAACAATGAGCCAATGATCAAGTGGAGCAATCCATCAAAGATTTGATATAGATGCCACTAAAAAAGTTATCTAAACAACGTTTAGACCCTGTTTGATAGTGCTCTTTTTTCATGAAATTGGAAACCATTTTCCATCTTTTTGAAAAAATGCATGTTTGATTGATAATAATTTCTTTGCAAAAGATTTTCTTGGTTGGAGGCTACGCACATGGTTTTCCCTGAAATTAGTGAAAACCAATAGGTGAGAATTGGTTTTCCAGCCTCTGCAATCATTTTTTACTTTTTTTTTTTAATTTTTAGAAATGGAAACAAATTTCATTACCAAGTGTAAAAAAAAAAATTTCGCTTTCATGGACAATTTTGATGCAAACGAAAGTCAAACGAATACTAAATTTTGATAAAAAAATGATTTTTTAGGAACTTTTTTTNATACTAAATTTTGATAAAAAAAATGATTTTTTAGGAACTTTTTTTTTTCCTTTTTTTTTTTTAAAACTTTTTGGCAATAGAAACAAATTTTAGAACCAAGTGTGGAAAAAAAAATCACTTTAATGGACAATTTCAATGCAAACGAAGGTCAAACGAACACACAATTTAAAAATTTTCCAGGTAGAAAATTATATCAATCAAACACACTTAATTAATAATTCCCTGGAAAATAATTTTTAAACAATTATTTTATCTGAAATTTATTTTTTTTCCACCCATTTTTCATCCTTATAATCAAACGGACTCTTAGACTCTTTGGTGAGAATAGTAAATAAAGAAGAACTTTAAATGAAATATCTTTTGAGTTAGCATTACATAAAAGGTTTCGAAACCTATCAAGGCATATGATCTAATCAGGTTCCTACCTATACAAACGTGTACTCAATTTTTATGAATTGTCAATAAAGGAAAAAAATGCGTTTATTTTTCAGTAGAAAATCTAAGGGTCCGTTTGATTGCAGGGGTGAAAAGAAAATGAATTGCAGGGAAAATAATTGTCTAGAAAATGTTTTTGCAGGGAATTGTTAACTAAGTGTGTTTGATTGGTATAATTTTTCATATGGAAATTTTTTAAATTGTGTTCGTTTGACTTTGTTTTACATGAGAATTGTCCATTAAAGTGATATTTTTTCCACAATTGGTTATGAAATTTGTTTCCATTGCCAAAAAGTAAACAAAAAAACGAAAATTTTTTTCCTAAAAAAATTATTTTTGTATTAAAGTTTAGTATTCGTTTGACTTTATTTTTCATGAAAATTGTCTATTAAAGTGAAAAAAAATTTTACAACGGGTTATGAAAATTGTTTTCATTGTCAAAATAATAATAAAATTCCAGAACCTGGAATTCAGTTTTCCCACCAAAAAGGTGGGAAAATACTTTCATCATTTGGGTGGAAATTCAGGCGCGTGGGTTCAAAGGAGGAAATCATTTGGATGACAAAATATTGTCCATCAAATACTACAAAAAGTGAAAAATTCATGGAATTTAATATCTATCAAACACTACCTAATTTTTTTAATGGAGTCATCTTTTACAAAAGTTTCAAATGAAGACTATTTTCTTATTTTTCTCTCACCAGTGTCATCCTAAGGAATTATCTTGTAGTATATTATTTCACGCCTTTCGAGACTAAAAAAATATGTCTTCGCAAATTCTTTAAATTAAGTTCTGGTACTAATTAAAATTCAATTTTTAATTTAAAATAAAGTTAACAATTAATTTTAATCACATAATTTATGAGTATCATCACTTTTCAACTACACATTTCATCAATTTTTATTAAAATCTACTGAAAATCTAATTTTAATCCCGAGCTAAATATGGTTCTTCTTTTCTCTCACTAGTTTGGTCATCCTACGGAATCCTCTCGTAAATTATATATAATACACGCTTTTGAGACTAAGCCTTGTTTGATCCCCATTTTATTAAAATTTCATTTTTCAAAATTCATTTTGAAAAACACATTCTCCAATAAAATAATTTTACATGTAAATCGAAAGTTTTTTCTTATTTTTTTCACCACACATTTTTCAAAAATCAATATTCAAAAACTCATTTTTTTCTCCAACATGAGACTTAAACAAGGGCTAAATAATATGTCCTTATAAATTCTTTAAATACATATTTTTCCAATCTTTTGCCCCCGTTTGACCCCCATTATTTGATATTTTAATTTTTAAAATATTGTTTTTTTAAATAAATGTGTGGTTAAAAAAAGATATAGTTTTTAATTTACATGTAATATTATTTTATTGAGAAATGTGTGTTTGATAAGAAGAGATAGAAAAATGAGTTATAATTTTAATGGATGTTGGAAAATTATATTCTCATCCGTACTATAATACTATTGTATACTTTATTCATGTGATTTTCACTTTAAATTTTTTAAGAGATTAAGTCATGATTTTGCTATTAAGATAAATTAACAAAACACTCATGCTATAAGTATAGAAAATTTTGATAGAAAGCTTTGACTGACCACACATGGCGGGAATTAATTGAAAGATGGAAAGAGGGAAAAAAAAGAAGATCCAATCATCTACGATCACATCAGCGTTGATAGAAATTCTGTTAAGAATTCTCTGTAATGTCTTTTTTCTTAGTAAAATTAAGAGTGGATCACAAGTTTGAGTAAACCATGATCAACTGATAATGGATGGGTGAGAGGTTTACCACGATTACATGGAATGATATCCTTCGTAACTATCTTTAATTTTATTATAATTCAATGCATATTTTGTGATCTTGTCCAATTAATTTATTGCACAATTTCATTATTCCTTGTGTATTACGCTATTACTAGAGCATTTTACATTTCTTTACATTGATCTTGAAACAAGAAGAAAAATAATCTTTTGACATTCGACTTTATTTGAACGCTTCTCTCCATTGATCGAGTGGATGAAAGACTATTTGATTTTTTTAAAGTAAGAATTAGTTCAGAGTTGGTGCAAAAGGCTAATACGATAAATGTTCAACCATAAGAACTTTTCAATTACTTCAGGTTATGGCACTGTTTAAATTCTATATAAAAATACAATATTACAAATGTCTGTTTGGCATAATTTTTGAGAAGTTACAAACTGTTCTTGGATCTTTTTGCTTAATTTTATAAAAAAAATGTTTCCTGTAATTAGACGAGTTTTTAGAAAAAGTTGGTCCATGGTTGTTTTCTCAAATAAAAAGTTCTTTTAGAAATTAATTTTCAAACAATATGTTGACATCAAAAAATGGTGCCAACAAATGCCGGGGCCACTCGTGCACACGCAAGTTTGATTCAACACGTAAATGCCGATCAACGGTCAAGATGACTCCAAAAAAACTGAACGTGGGAGTAGCTCAAACACACGAGACGTCTCCGTTCGGGCTTCCGACAAGATAAATGTAGTACGATTGTATAAGAGACCAATCGATAAAAGCACAATTTGTAGTAGAAATATACTGTTTAAACAAGAGAGAATAAGAATATATTACTCCAAGTATTGGGAATTTTTCATTCAGAATTTGCATTAACCCTATTGTGTTACATGGTGGGGGTATTTATAGTGTTACAAATCAAATGGTGACCTTTGGATCAATTTACACGTGACCTCATCTCCTCGGCCAAGATATCAAGTCCTAACTATCAAGTTGACTCTCATAACCTTACAAAACATTAAATGATCTTACATTGACAAGACAAGATACAAATATACTTTACACAAAAGTCACGTCAATCATTGAAATAAAGATCTTCATCATTGCTATATCTTTTCACATGGATCTCCACTAGCTGAAAGAAAGGGGC